TTCAAGAAGTAGAGCTTTCCAAAATGGCCAGCATCCCTGAGTAAAGGATTTCTCAAACACTGGAAGCATTAAGCAGAAGGTGGATGAGCACCAGAATGCTTGCCCCCTACAAATTGCAGCAGCAAGGACAGATAGATTAGAGTTGGTCACTTCTAACATCCTTTCCTTTTGGACAAGTTTTTTATTATGTTAAAGACAAGACATGACGGATAACATGCTTGTTTCTACTTATAAGAAAAGTAACAGGTAATAGAAGCTAGGCTAGTGGTCAAAGACCTTCATCAAGCTAATGACCTTGGATAAGTCATTTGTCTCCCTGAGGGTGTTTTTCATTTGCAAAACATTACCAGAATGTAACAGTTTTATAGTCCCTTACATCTCTAATTTTCAAGGTTCTGTGATTCATTCTTCTTCACCAAATATTATGTTTGTTCTTAGGTTTTTAAAACATACTCTTTTTTGGGTTGGGGCTGTAGCTCAGTGGTAGAGCGCTTGCCTAGCAGGTGCGAGGCCCTGGGTTTGATCTTCAGCACCACATAAAAATAAATAAATAAAATAAAGGTATTGTGTCCAAATACAACTAAAAAATAAATATAAAAATAAAATAAAATAAAGGTATAGTGTCCATCTACAACTAAAAAAGATGCTCTTTTAGAATTTTTTTTCATTTAGTTTCATTTGAGATAGTTGAATTTTAAGTGCCTTTTCAGTATACATTACACTAATAAAGATTTTATTATTTCTTATTAGTGTAATGTGTTTGGTAACTGTTATATCAACTTTGTACTTCTGGAATTGCTTGAATAATTCTTCAAAATTTCTTTATTCAATTATTTTAAAGATTTTAAAAGGATTTTACACCAATATAAATAAATAAAAATCTCCTAAATTTTCTTACTTTATCTGCTTTTTATTTCTTTAATTAAAAATCAAAATCATGGGGTGGGGTTGTGGCTTAGTGGTAGAACACTTGCCTAGCATGTGTGAGGTACTAGGTTTGATTCTCAGAACTGCATACAAATAAATGAATAAAGTAAAGGTTCATCAACATCTAAAAAAA